ATCAAAATTGCACATCAGGAACAAAGTGGCACAGAGCTTTTGACAAGTGACTTGCACTGGTGGGGGGGATTGTTACACTATAAATCTTCAGCATAAAATAGCACGAGAAATAATCACGGAATCTGTCCTGAATGTTCACTAAATCCTTTGGAGTTATTTCCACTTTTTACTAATGTACACATTTGTGGTCGTAAAAGCCACCCCCCCAAAAAAATGAATGTCCCCCTTATGACATCATATTTGGTAATCAAGCTGCATTGATTACCAAATATCCAAAATATCCCCGTCACCAACAATACTCAAGAACTGCTTTAAGTGCCCTTGTAAGAAGACATGTAGCAAGTCAAAGGTGTAAATAAGCTCTGGTTCTACTTTTGCTCAGGGCTGTTCGGCTTTGCCAGGAAGTTTTGTAAGTGGGTTAATAAAATGCTGTATCTTTAAAGTGATTTGATTGTTTTAGGTGAGCCAGGTTTGGCCACATGTTCTACTACGATAAACATTTTCTTTTTAGGGCTGTGCAAAGCATTCAAAGGTTCATGGTGCAAGGCAGCCCTCCTTGAAGCTTAAAACAGCCACTTTCTCTAAAAGGGATAGTGTAGCTGTTTCAATCTAACCAAATACATGTACGCACAGCTGCTTCACTTTGCTAGCCATTTCAGAGGAAGCACTGTTTGTGCATGCACCCATATATCCAGGCAATTAGGGACAGTCTCCCAAAGAAGCAATCCAAGCCTCCCAAAAGATAGGGCTATTTTAAGGCTTTGATGAGGTTTGCTTCGCACTTAGAGCCGATGCATTTCATTGAATGTATTTGCAACTCTAGCTTTTATTCATTGTTCATTTTTTAACATTAAGCACGAAAGAGGGATATGAAGAGGGGGGAAAAGGAGGGGGAAATCAACACGAACTTCTGTAGGCTCAATCAGTCTTACATGTATGTTCACATATTATGCACAAATTATTTATTTACATTTAGGTCAACTTAATGAAACTTTAAAAGAGGAAACAATATAGAGAAAATAATTCATATAGAGTTCATCACGTATATTCAGATCAGATTTCTAAATAGTCCCCCTAGTATTGACTTGATCAAACAAGGGGCTAAGTGAGTAAAAGCTCTCTTTTACCTACCATAAACTTCTATCACCAGGCTTCTAAACAGCACAGTTATTTATTATAGATCCCATCCATCCACTGAGCCGTTAACCTTTTACCGCACCATATACTATGATGAATGAATGGCTAGAGCTAAGTGATTTTGTTTTTATACCAGCAGATGAATCAATTGCCCCTTGAGATATTTGGAGGGGGCACAAAGCACTAAAATATGTGCACACATACGCACACTACGAAAAGGGAAAAGAAGGAAACTAAACCATCTATGATTCCAGTTAATAAATTCAATTCAATAAGAATTCATTCAAGGTCAGGATCATTTTATTTAAAAAAGTCTACAATTATTTTCACAAAGTAAAGAGGCTTCGCTTGCCTGTCACTACAATATTGATTTGTATCCCAAAGATTATGAAGGTAAATATGTAATTTAATTTACCTTTACCTGGTACAAAAAACGTATCTTCTGAAACAATATAGAAATACTGACAGATCAGTCACAAGCATCCACAGAAATTTTCCAATGAGCAATAATCCCAAACTCTTGCAACAGTGGCACCATTCCTTGGATCATGAGGGCCTGTGCATGGTCGCTCATGCCCTAGTCATCTCTTAGTTGGATAACAGCAACTTGATCTACCTGGGGCTACCCTTGAAGAGTATTTGGAAGCTGCAGCTGGTGCAATATAGAGCAGTGTGCACATTCCTGGGAACCCCCTAGCCATGCCCATATAATACCGCTACTGCATGAACTGCAATGGTTTCCCGTTTGCTTCCAGACCCAATTCAAGGTGTTGGTTGTTACCTTTAAAGCACCCCATGGCATGGGTCCAGAGTATGCTAGAAGCCACCTTTCCCTAACTAGCCCTCCCCACTTGCGCCAGTGGAGGAGGCCTGCTACAAATCCCGTCTGCTAAGGAATTCCAGCAGATGGGTTCAAGGAGAAGAGCCCTTTCCACTGTGACCCCATCCTTGTGGAACACTCTACTACTGAAAATGAGAACTGTTCCCACTCTTTTGGCCCTCTGGAAGGGTATTAAAACTTGGCTTTGCCAGTTGACTAGGGATCCCAATTGGGACACTCATCACTGGAGTAGGAAGACCACATCCCTATCCCATCCGTCTCTTAGTTGATAAAGTTCATCACTATTTACAATGTTGCCCAAAATGGCACTACAGATGAGAAACCATTCCTGCAAGAATTCTAGAATTCTTGTGATCATCTGGAGGAAACGGTGATATAGAATAGCAGATGACAACTCTACAAAATAGTCTAGTTCTTCAACCTAAACCCAGTTCTGCCACAGAACTGCCTTAATAACAGCCAATAAAAGGAGCAAAATTTACTTGCCAAATGAAGACGTGTACAACAATGTAGCTACTCTATCCACAGGGACTTTACAATAACAGTAAATCCCCAAAACCATTTACTAGATAGAATCATGATGTCTGATAGAATTATGATGTCAAATGGCGTCTTGGAATTCTACATAGAATATCTTCCTTGCAATAGGACCAGAAGATCAACACATATCAAAGGTGAAATATGGTGAAATATGGCCTGCTCTTCTAGGATATTAATTATATCCTCATTTAATCTGACTCAATATTCTTACATATGGCTACAGTAAGTTCCTTGGCATAAACAGAGTTCTCAACTAAAATGTGCCTCTCCAATTACATTTTAAGTTGCTGTATGTATGTTTGGTAAATGAGAGAAATAATTTATATTTCAGTTATCTTTAGTAAATGTTTATTAATGAAGCAGACAAGGGTCAGAAACTCATTGCATTCCCATCTTTTTGCTTTACTTGGTATCTTCAAATGCCAGATGAGATATACTATATACTTCCAGGGCATTGCTTAAGTATTTCTAAGCCCCTAAAGTTTCATGGGAAAGGAGGAGGTATAGGAAATAAGATGCTCCTTTCTCTTGAATTCAGCAAGCATCAGGGAACATTGTTATATTAAGAAGTAATATACTTGCTACAGGGGTAGTTTTACAACCACATTTGGGACCAGAGTTTCCATTGCTAAGCAGAGTGATTGTTAAGTGAGTCACACCTTTTGCCACCGTTATTAAGCAAATTACTGCAGTTGTTAAGTGACATATGCAGTCATTAAGCAAATCTGGCTTCCCCCGTTGACTTTGCTTGATAGGAAGCTGGCTGGGAAGGTCTCCAATGGCGGATCTCATGACCCCTGGACACTGCAACCGTCATAAATACATGCTGGTTGCCAAGTGCCTGAATTTTGATCAGTGACCACTGCAATGGTCATGGATGCAAGGATCACTTTTTTCAAAGCTGTTGTAACTTCGAATGATTTCTGAACAAATGGTTGTAAGTCAAGAACTAGTTATAGTGAGCAAGTAAAATTGATACATTGTACGTATAGTCGAGGCCATGGTTTTCCCTGTTGCAATGTATGGCTGTGAAAGTTGGACCATAAGAAAGGCCGAGCGCAAAAGAATTGAGGCCTTTGAACTATGGTGCTGGAGAAGACTCCTGCGAGTCCCCTGGACTGCAAGGCAATCAAACCGGTCAGTCCTAGAGGAGATCAACCCTGACTGCTCTTTAGAAGGCCAGATCCTGAAATTGAAACTCAAGTACTTTGGCCACCTAATGAGAAGGAAGGACTCACTGGAGAAGAGCCTAATGCTGAGAAAGATTGAGGGCAAAGAAGAAGGGGATGACAGAGAATGAGGTGACTGGATAGAGTCACTGAAGCAGTAGGCGTGAGCTTAAAGGGACTCCAGAAGATGGTAGAGGACAGGAAGGCATGGAGGAACGTTTCCATGGGGTCGCGATGGGTCGGACATGACTTCACAACTAACAACAACAAAACAAATTATTTATGGGAAGACTGAGAACTGCTCTCCTAAATAGTAAATTATGTGAATATCATTTCAAATGACTGAAGGCAGAAGCCAATGAGACATTACATTTTTTTAAAGCAAATTAAGTTTCTTTTTCTCCATACAATGCTTTCCTGTTCACTGTTGTGTAAAACACATGGCTTTGTCTTGTTACCTAAATAATATTTGACTGATTACTTCTTTCTTCTCATATTTAGCCACAACCAATGAGAAACTCAATACATGGGGAAGTACAGCATTGATGTTTTATCAATTAATTTTTCATCCTTGCCAGATTACCTTTGAGAGAAAACAGTTGTGATAGTTCTATTTCATTCCACATTCTAAAGATATGCGGTGCTCTATTTTTAAAGGAAGAAGGTGCTTCACAACATAAAAGGGGCATTTAAAGCAACTGCATCTTTTTCTGGGATTCCGTGACTTCCCTCTGCAATAGCGGCACAGCTCAGAGAAAACATGTGTTTAGTTTAAGGAGTTGTCATTGGGGGTTACAAGAATACCCCTATGCTCTCCAAAGTACTGGATTCCCTTGGAATTCAAACTGTTGCAGATTCCTCATGCATATAAAACAGGGGTGTCAAACTGCCGGCCCATAGGCCGGTTGCATTATGCGGAGCCTGCGCCCACCCCAGCTCCGGCAATGCAAAAAAAGTCACGACACGTCATGTGATGCAGCAAGTTTGACACCGGTGATATAAAAGAAGAAGATGCATATTGAGAAGTCCCCCAGTGGAAAATGTCCAAATTTAATGGAAAATGTCCTAATTTAGCCAGTAAAGATCCATTTTCAAGTGAATACTCCAATATGAGCATCAGAGGGAAGAAGAGGCTTTCAGTAAATCTCCATTCATCACTGCACCTCTGGTTCATAATACTTATTTTAACCATGGTTGATTCTATGTATTCTATGTACTGTTTGAGTACTAGAACCAAAATCTTCTAAACATTTTTATAACCTGATTTTTTTTTATCCAGCATAGAAAAATAGTTTTTAAAAAGTAGTACTTACAAATACACTAGAAAACAAATCCAGGTACCCAGAATTCACTGTAAGTTTCTTTTGAATTCATGAAACTTATCTGCAGAATAAGGGGAAAAAACAAAAGAAGAACAATTAAAGTCAAGAATATGTTTATAAAAATCAGTTTTCTAAATAAATCTGCAAAGTTTGCTAGCTTGTGAAAAAGATGTATTAATCTGTTGGGAGTTTGGAGAAGAACACTAGAGAAATACATTTCAATAATGAGGGCAGAAAAATGGTTTCCCTTGTCTAACAGGCTGCATGGTTTCTACAAAGAAGGAGCAGAATCACTCCTCTGTCAGCCTTTTTGCTCCAATTCCAGATTAAGCTAACTGCAAGGTCAATCAAACCACTCTCTATTGCCTGCCTAACATGTAACAGATTTTCAAATCATAACAGGGTCAATTAGGTCTAATGGTTAAGGTGCTGGCCTAGGAACCAGGAGACTGTGAGTTCTAGTCTGCTTTAGGCATTGAAAATCAACCCAACAAACTTCACAGGGTTGTAGTTGTGGGGAAAACAGGAGGAGGAAGAAGTATTAGGTAGGTTCACCGCCTTGAGTTATTTATAAATAATAAAGGTGGGATTAAATAAATAAACAAACAAACAAACCATAAAAATCTCTGTTTCTCTTGTAATAAGCTTTAGTACTAATTTACAATGTACTTTTCAGATGATTTTGGAAACTATAGATATTTCACTATTATCTTCATATACAGCAAACATATCCATGATTTATTTATAACTATATACATAGATATATATGCTGCCTGGACTTGATTCTAGGCAGCTTGCAATCATAAATAGCAAATGAACAAATCAAAAACAATGCCTTCCTACCACTGTCTGCGTAAGTCAGATTTTTCTATGGAAATACAGTTTTACATTCTTCCTAAAGTTTAATAGGATTACAGTTGCCCCCTGATAAGCTGAGACCCTTCTCTAGTCCCTCCCACACTGATCTCAAGAATGGGAGATGGTATTATCCCAAAGGTACTTTTTTGTAAGGCAACTGGACTTGGTTTTTTCCTTGAAAATGTTTCATTTCTCATCCAAGAAGCTTCTTGAGAAGCAAAACATTTTTAAGGAAAAAACCAAGGAAGTCCAGTTGCCATTTGGAAAAGCACCTTTGAGACAACCATGATCTGAATGATTGAGAATCTCAATAGATGAGATGGTATAATGTACTGGGTGGGTGGAAGCCACTTGAAAAACTTTGGTAGAATAGAAGCATGCCAAAACTAAGTGCTGTTAAGACTCCTTTAAACATTTATTTTAGCTTTTCACCCAGCTACCGGGTGAAGGCATCTAATGGTTCCAAATGAAGTATCATCAATATAGCCACAATACACAGCTTTATATCTCCAAGTGATGTCGTGTAGTCCTATCTTAGTGTCTGGAGGCTGTCGGAGTCTGGATGTTGAACAACAAGCTTCAGCTAAATCCTAGCAAGACCAATTGACTTTGGGTTTTAGGGTCCCTGGGTTCTAGGGACCTTCCATCTCTTGTTCTGGATGAGGTTACACAATCCCAAACAGAAACTGTGTGCAATTTGGGGGCTTTCCTGGACTCACTGTTCCTGTTCAAAGAGCAGGTGGCAGCCAAGGCTAGGAAAATACAGCTATATGTTGTGCCTATTCTTGGACCAAGAAACCCTGTTCACAGTCATCATGTCCTTACCACCTCCCAATTTGACTACATAGACTGCCCTTGAAGAGCATCTGGAAGCGTCAGCTGATGTGGAAGAAAGCAGTACAGGTAATTATGGGCACCTTTCATTCAGCTCACGTGACATCTTTGCTCTGCAAAATGCATTGGTTGCCAGTATGCTTCAAGATTCAATTCAAGATGTTGGTAGTGAGCTGTAAGCCCCCTCATGGCATGGGGCCAGGTTATTTGCAGATTTGTCTTTCCCAGCAGTATCTCCTCACTCTTGAGACCTGGTAGGAAAGGCATGCTCTGAGCCCCATCCATTAAGAAGTGTCATCTGGCAGTATCATCTGGAGGAAACCTTCTCTTTTTGTTGGTTGCCCTCTAAGACATCATTCCTCAGAGATTAGACTTGCCGCCCCTACTGACATTCATAGTCTTATGTTGTTGATTATGTTGTCTAGCTCAGCTCCTATGTTTATTATTTATTATTTTGCTGTTTTTATCTTGTTTTTATTTCCTGTTAGCCGCCCAGAGTCATATGTTTGAGATGGGTGGCCATATAAATTGAACAAACAAATAAATAATTGAAACAATTAGATGCTTCAACATTCATATTACTAGTAATAATTACAATTAATTAGTACAATTAATCCATTAGTGATCTAATGGAAATCATAACGATAGTATAAAAAACACAATGTTGTAATTTTTCATAGGACAAATTGTGTCAAGGTGCAACTATGAAGTCTTTTGGCTTAATTATTTGTGGTGTTGGCCTGGCTGTGGAAAGTTATATTAATACAATGTGGTCAGTATTAAACCTCATTCCATTTATTTTTCTTTTAAAATGTCTCTGATTTCTGTCTAGAAAGGTAACAGATGCACCTCCAAGCCATAGATTTTCCTCATGGCATTGTTTTTTCTTGCACAATGAGTCACTTTATTCTTCTAAATATCCTAGTTTCCTCTCTACAGAACTCTTGTGTGTTAGAAGGTAGTTACACAGGAGTTTATTTTTATTGTTTGGCCTACATGCAGCTGTTTTAGTTTCTGAGACAACAAAAAGCACTTTGTTAAAAGCTCCTTGATTCTTTCCGAGACATAAGCCTAGATACCCGTAATATTATTCTGAAAATAGAAATAAATATGAGGCCTAGCTTGGACTGAAAACATTTACTACACCACTGAATTGTTCACAAGTGATTATTTTAAAGATGGAAATGCATCCAAATACGTATTTATTTTTTAGAGTTTAGAGGCATACCATAAAACTGCAAGTGTGACAGGTTCTTGCCCAAAGGTCTTCTGAAATTCAAAATCATTATTTCAGAAAGATTCTTTTGACGATTGTAATCAAAGCAATATTAATCTGACTCATTTTACAATATGAGGTTGGGGATCACTGTGACAATAAAATGCAATGTTGTACAAATATGTAGCTGTATTCTAATTCTATTTTAAAAAGTTTCAGTGGCATATTAATAGCTGCTTTTAGTTTTCAACTTTTGCAAAATAAACGCCATATAGAAACAATTAATATTATCACAAAAATACAAAATACGCACTGTACTTTTGATTTGTAAAATGTTTGGGGGGGTTTTGCCTAAATTCTTAAATTTTCAATGATTAATTTATGAGAAAGCATAAATTCATTTTTAAAGAATCACATCTTTTAGAAGAATTGCTTCCTCTGTTATTCCTGCTTATTAATTTTCAGCATAATACTAATATTATTATCATAATGAAAAAAATCTAGTCTTCCCTTTTCTTACTATAAAATATTGCCTGCATTCTGATATAGAGCCAAACCATGGCTCTATAATGTTACTTGAATGAACCATGAAGAGGCAATACATTCTCTCATGGGAAAATGTGATAAAAATACTGATTCAGCTTGACTGGTTAGTTATGATTTAAGCAAAACAAAGATTGATACGTTTATATTCAACAGCAAAATCTGCTTTTTTATATAAAATCTGAAATACATTAGAAAGCTGCAGCACATAAGGAATTTCTGAGCTACTTTTATACGTCTGGAAAAAAAAGAATATACCATTTATAACTCAATATAGAATCAACAAATCTTATTTGCTATGATCAAAATTACGCTATTATATAAGTCTGCAACCAGTCCTGAATCTCATTATCAGATGATTTACACCATTACTGTGCTTTGGAGACACCAATTAAACAAGGACAGCAGTTCCTAAGGTCAAGCTAATTAATCCAAAAAAGTATAAATACACTTTAATATACACCACTTCATGTAGAGAATTTGGGAACAAAGCATCAACACCTCATAATGGGCTACACAATTAAGTATGAAGGTTAAATACACATAGACACTTAATTCAGCCTCTCTGTTCAAATATATATTTTATTATTGCACGTAATTTTTGAAAAGTAAATGGGGAAGGATAGGCCATCAAAAGAACAACATTGGGACGATTTGCATCTGAAAGCTTTGATGCTTAGGGCAAAATGCAAGTAAGCGACAAGACAAGAAAGAGCGTGAGCCATGTCCAGTGATCCTCAGCAAATTAAAGCCTCCTGTTGTTCAGATAACACCTCAGAACAGGGACTCTGCTTGAGGCTGCATCATTACTGAAGCAGTCAGGCAGAGAAGCTGAAGAACTAAATATATAAGGTTTAGTGTGTTCAACATACTTTCATCCAAGCAACCTCCTAAAATATCTATTTTTTCAGCAATGCTTCCCTACGACGAGTTATGTCTGACACAACAGGCAAGCAATCTGACATTGGCTGAGGTACTGAACATTACTTTTACTACAAATACCCCTGTCTTGCCCTTATAATGTCAACTGTAAACCTCCCCACGCCACCACGCTTATGAAATGCATCCTGCAGCAAAAGGGCAAGTAGCACTACGGCTATAACCAGTCCATAAAGTAAACAGACAGATCAAAATCAGACACACTGTTTACTAAAAAGCAAAAGAGTAATTGGCCCACATCTGTTCAAGATGTTCAGGGCTCTGACTGGATCACGGAAAGGAGATAGGCAACCACACTTGCTTTAAAATACACCCTTAGCCTGTGCTGTGTAAACTGCACAACCTACATGTTGTATAGGGATTCTAACAAACATGACCTATTTCCAAAGGTTGTCCTAAGTTATGCCCTCAACATTTCCCTATGCACTACTGCAGAGAGGGGGGAAAAATCATGAGGTATTACCTACTAATCCCTATTTGGCAATTTCTATACCCAGTTTCTGCATCTTTTCCCCCAACAGACACTATGTGATGTGTGAACTAAATTTTAAGTGCCCAATTTCTTTCATACTTGTCTCCTCTACCTGAGTTACATGGGGAAATTCTGAATGTATGAATCAAAAACAAGACAGTTTTCTTTACATGGTCAAATGATTTACACCATCATTGTAATAATGTACAACAAAATCAAGCTTAGGAGATGGCAAAAACAAAGTTTAATATATGCTTGGTGATACACCTATGGAAAACAGCATTTCTGGTTTTCAGGTGTCCACAGGATAGAGCATATTCCAAAGTGTTTGTGTTCCTTGTGGCGACTAGCGCATGAAGATAAATTTCAATTATTTTTACCTTAATTTCTCCAGAAAGGAAAGAAGTAGCTAAAGTTGTGCAACACAGCAAGCCATTAATATATCTCAGGAATCCAAACAATGACTAATATAAAAATCTGACAGGACCTTCACTTCCTCACTTGCTCATATCAAAGTTTGCATCTCATAAAGCAGACATAAACCAATTAAGCAGGAGTCCTGACATATTTCCAAGTTATTTCTCCCTGCACTTTCAAAATGAGGATCTCTCATGCCTTTCCCTAATTTTCTTAAATACGACAAACTGTATCCTTGCAATGCTAATTTTCCCATATTCTGCAATCATATCCTTTATTTCAGTACATTTCTTTCAATAAGGCTCTCAAGGTGTACATTTAAACTAATTTGGTTTTCATCAAGAAGAAAAGAAAGTCTGCAGTTCTGAGAAGAAAGCACATTCATAGCAAAGCAATATGAAACCATACAAGACTATCATGGTAGCCTAACAATACACATCTGATTTTTATAATACACATCTGCCAAGGGACCAACCCTCAGAGTTATTATAAAGACATTTTTGTAATATGTGGTTCCCAAAAATATAGATGCTGATAAGAGATAACACAAAGCACTTTTTCCTATACACCAGACGACCAGACATCATTGTCTGCTGATGTTCACTAGCAATTTAATTGTCTAAATATTTCATAATGTTGATCACCAGAGAATATAAGGGAGACCATTACTAGCTTGCTAGTTGTCTGTGAGTTGTATTGCCTGATTGCTGTAAAGGTACAGCAGCTGCTTGTGCTCTCAATTTAAATACACAACCTATTTTAAAGTATGTATAAAATATAAACCTGATTAAGCAAATCCTACCTCTGCCTGCCTAGGTTTCATTACAAATGTGTCTCAGACTCAGTGTTTTCAACACATGGCCTTAGTGCTGGAATAAGCAAGATGTTTATGTATCATTGCATCTCCATTTGCCCCTGTCCTGTTAGTGAAATCTTAATAAAGAATAAAAATATTTTTTAAAAGCTACTAGTAATGTTATTCTAAAAATAGAATAAGGACACTTCTATAGAAACTAAAACATGCTGATCTTCTATTCACGTGTATTGTGAACCTTCAAATTTCTTTAGATATTACCAAGATTTCTTTCTTTTGCTCAGGAAAATGCAAATAAATGAAACTTATACTGCTAGGAAAAATGGCTGTGCTTCCAGTGTTCACTAAGAGAGGGTTATATGTTGTCTCTCTTGATTAAACTGAAGAGGATTTCCCAGAGAATTACCAAACCTGACATTGCTTGCTAGATAACCAATCTCAGATTTACCAGTTACTCACCAAAGAAGAATTTTAATTACCTTTACAGAACCTGGTGGCTGACACCAGCATCTGACCTTACCAGTTTACATACTTAGGAACAACAACCAAAACAACAACTGGAGCAGTAATTGATTGGAATTTTCCTTATTCATAGGAATGTTTAAAAATAAAAGCTTGATTTCAAAAGGGCCTAGTTTGGTCACAAGATGCAAATAAGGCTGAGAAGAGCTATACAAAATTTACAGTATTGAAGTTCTGTTACAAAAAAAACAACCTCTAGGATGAATAATATCCAGAAACAGGATTATGTGCAAAATTGCATTTTTTAAAAAAGTAGGTCCTATACAGGCTGCTTGGGAGCAAATTCAGCTTCAACAGAATGCTCACAAAATTATATACATCCCAACCAATTTGATTATCATCATACCCTTTATCTCTTTTCGCATTTTAAAATCTCTCACCAATATACCATTCTTCTATTGGTCATCTGTTTGGTAAAAAGAGATGTACAAATACATGGAATTCTAAATTCCTGTTTGTTTTAGCATGTCTATTATTTTCTTACTACACCACAATGAACTCTATATTGAAGTAAATTAAAACTACTACTTAATACATTGTAATCATACTGATTCATTTCAGACTACTTCAAATCAACTTTTTCCTATTAAAGTGATGTGTATTCTATTTTGTTTTAAAAGACAGCTAATGATCTATAGCAGGGGTGTCAAACTCAATTTCATTGAGGGCCGCATCAGCATTGCAGTTGCCCTTGGGGGGCCGGGTGGGTGTGGCCAGGGTGGGTGCAGCCTACTGGGTGGGTGTGGAGCAAGTGGGTGTGGCCTACTGGGTGGGCATGGCCAGCTCTACATTGTTTGTGTCAATGGTGCCTGTGGGGGTCTGGGCAGGAGTGGGACAGATCTGAGGGTCTCTGGCAGAAGGGGGTGGGACCAGGGCAAGTGCCAAGGCATGGTCCACTGGAGGAGCCTCACTGTTCCTCTCAGGCCATGTGCGGGGGGCTGGATGGTGGCGCGGGCTGCCCGGAGCCCTGGGCAGCAGAGGTCAAATGCCCAGCCTGGCCCTCAAGCACCTGTGGCACCAAGCCCAGCCCCACTTCCCCAAGGGGGCGCCCAGATGCACTTAAGGCTGCTGCTGCTGTGCTTGCTCTCCTTAGCCAGGTTATTCATGATGGGTACCAGGGCAAAGTCAGAGGGAGACTGAATGTGTTTCAGCATAGATGGCCACCACAAAATTGTACATTGGCTCCCGGACGGACGGCCTGGGCCAGGGCCAAGGCAGCGGAGGGTGTTCCCTCACTGTTTCCAGGATGGCTTCGCGGGCCACATGAAACCACTTTGCGGGCCGCATCCGGCCCCCGGGCCTTGTGTTTGACATGTCTGATCTATA